AGAGTTCCAAGAAGGAAAACGCAGTGTGCACTGGCTGAACAGGGTGAATGGGGTGGGTCTTTGCCACAGGGTGCAGAGCTGCCCCACAGCTTTTCTAAGGGACTGCATGTGGGCAGCTTCCAGGAGGACTGGGTTAATAGCACTCCTCTCACCTTCTTGGCTGCCAAGCTCATTTTTCCCCATAGATTATCTTGCAGGGTAATGTCTGTAGAATAAAGTATGGAAAACATTACTTCAGATCAGTGTTTCCAAATTCATACCACACTGTAAGTTTATGAATTATTCAGATTTTAACTCGGATGGTTGTAATTGTAGAGGTGTGTGACATATATTTATAATCACATTCTCAAGTGACAGATCCCCAATATTTCCTTGTTGGTTTGCTCTGGCCAACGTGAGGGGCTGCTTGCCCGTGATCCTCTCATCACAGGGCCAGGGGACTTGAGTTGGGAATCTCCCCTTTGCTGACACTGTCTCTGCAGAGTGCCATGTGCCAGGGAAGGCAGGCAAGTGGGCACCCACAGTTTGTTGCTACTGGGCGGAAGTTGAGGCTTTGAACAGGGATGTGCTGACACTGTAGTAGAGGCCAAATGGGGCACCTGCAGGGGCGATGCAGTGAGTGGGACACTGCCTTGGCTGATCTCACTGTTGCTCAGACTCCGTATCACCCCACTGGAGCTTAAACAGCTGTCCTGGGGGAGGATGAAAGACAGCAAGAGACGGCAAGGCGAGTGGGGAATGGAAGGTGGGCAGAACTGGGCTGTGGGGCATGGATTCCTGGAGCTCCAGGTGGGGGTGACTGCAGCATCAGCTCAGCAGGGCATTCTTCTCTTGCCAGAGCCCCTGTCCCTCAGGCCCACAGAGGCCCTGTCCTCCCTTACAGTTACCCCACCCAGCTACCCAGCCTCTTTGTGTTCCTTGAGGGGAAGGCACTCAGCATGTTTCAGTTCATAGTTTTTAAATATGCGAAGCTGTTGGTTGGATCCCATTTTGTAGACGGGGAAGAATGTGCCATAGTTGGCAGGTTGGGGAACATGACTGGAGCAGTGGGGCCACTTTGGTCAGCTCTGGCCTCAGTAAAGACATCGGTGTGTAGAAGCTTTAGGGGGCTCCCTGCCCTGTCTCCCATTGTCTTTTGTCCTCCCCAGGCTAGCCGTTTAAGCTCCCCCGGGCGATGCTGAGTCTGAGCAACAGTGAGCTCAGCCAAGGCGGAGTCCCATAGAGTTGTCTCTGAGTGCACAATCCGTGCGGGCACCCTGGGATGCAGTGTCTGCTGTGCAGGGAGAGAGGTTTGCCTGGACCATCCACTTGCTTACCTGTTTGAAGGGTTTTCTCCGCATTTGGCAGAGAAGCTAATTATGGCCAGACTTTAGAGGCATGGGTATGATGTGTTAACTGTGCACCCATGGCCCTGCCCCAGCATCTTCTGTGAGGTGGCTCTTTAATGTGTGTTTTGAACAGAGGAATGATTAGTGGTATGTGTTCTCACTCCGTGGTAGCTATTGATGTGTTGGGACACAGAACTAGGATCCAAGCCTATGTCCTGCGTGCCTGCTGCCAAATGGCATCCCTGTAGCAGTGGGGACCTTGTGCCTCTCCATGGCTGTGTGAATGGCTGGGTTGCATTGTGCAGGACGGGCTGGTGTGGTCCCATCTTGCCGCAGACACCTACTTGCCGGGCCCAACAGGAGCTGCCGTGGGAGATCAGGGAAGGGGGAGGATCTGCTTCTCAGGACTGCCTGAGTCAGGCGCCTGTCTCCACAGTGTTCTATTCATGTATACTTAATTCTGTGGCTCTTCTTATCTCTGAGATATTAAACTTCTGTCGAGAGGCAGTGTCTAGATATAAAATGTTCCTGAGAGGTGCAGAAAGAGATGGTGGGGCATCTGAGGTGGCTTGACCTCACTGCAGGCAAGTCCTCCATTTAGGGCCCCTTAGCTGAGGACCTCTGGGGCCACCAGACAGAGGGGGCTCACCATAGTGGTTCTCCCTTGTTCCCACCCATGCCCCAGGCCCCCTTGTTGTGGCTCCTGACTTTTGGCAGGACGTCTCCAGTTTCCATCCTCCTGAGTCCATCCACAGTTAAATAAGGAGGCCCTTTCTCCAGCCCCAGCATGGTCACTGCTGCTTCTGGGAGTCTCCTCAATCATCCAGCGTGTTTGAACCCTGACTAAATGGCAGGCACTGTGCAAGGCACAGGGGACCCAGTGATGGATGAGACACAGTCACTTCCTTCAGAAAGCTCACAGTCATGCTAGGAGACAGACACTTGTGACATAGAAACAGCATACAATAAATAGCAAATATTCTGTGGTATCTCAAAGAATGTGGGAAGACAGAAGCAGGTAGAGAGAGGAGGGAGGGGGAGAATGACCTCAAAGACGGTAACTGTTTGCTGCAGGGCTTAGGTAATGGTGAGTCTCTCTTAAGAGTCACCCTCTGCTAAAGCAATGGCTTTTCATCTTTGTGCTTTCAGTAGTAAAATCACTTTTCCAAACTTCTGCACAGATCACCAATAAATAAAACCAAAGCAGAGTGCATTTGTGAAACTGGGAGCAGGGTGAGGATGGGGGTGAGGGTGGGGGTCGAGTGCTCTCTGCCTGGCTGCATCCGTGCACCTGCAGTTTCAGAAGCCTGACCTCTGTTCTTCCCGAGGTGGTCATATACTGATTCAGTTTGCTGTTGTGGACCGCTCTGCCTTGGAAGGGCCTGGAACCTACAGGCTTGTCATAGGCAAATCTAGAGGTGATCTTGTGATTCCTGCCTTGGGCCCAAACTGGACAGCTAGGCTTTTCTTTTGGGGAAGGGATGCCTAAATAAGATCCAGGTAGGAAGGGGTGGATTAGAGTGAGGAATTGGTTTCCTTTTCCTAGTGTGGGTTGAGTTGGTGGCTTCCTGGAGTTGTGCGGTGTGTGAGCCTATAAGGGGAGGTGCTGCCAGTGGACAGTGTCTCTGAAAGGGGTCTGTTTGGGACTTGTCAGTGCAGAGAGCTCTGCTGGAAGAGCTGTGCTTTCTGGTCAGACCTTGTCTACAGTTCCCCAGGGAACCCAGGGAGCTTTGTGGGGCTCTTTGCAGGTGGCTAAATGGATACCTGCCGGGAGAAGGTAAGAAGCCAGAGGCCAGCAGAGGTGAGTTCAGCCAGGCTGGCACAGATGAGTTCTGTAGGCATGGCTGCTCCAACTCACCTGCAGCCTTGGAGAGCGCTCACAGCACCCTGGACCTTGAGCACATCATTTTCTGTGTATTGGCTTAGTTGATCCTCATAACAGCCCCATGCGTTAGGTATTATTTTTACCCTCCTTGAGCTAATGAGGAAATTCAGGCACAGAGGTTCCCTAGGTAATTAGTGGTAGAGCTGGCATTCACACTGAGGCAGTCTGGCTTTCCAGAGAATGCACTTGAGAACTTTCTATACATGTCACCAGCAGCTTCATGAGAGACGGGTCCTCCAGTTATCTCACAACTGGGGATTCTCATGTGCGGCTTCAGCTCTAAGTGACCAGTTGGAGAACACTGTATGTGTAGTTTAATATTAAACACCCTTCTGATGCAGGAATGTAGAAGCTGGTGCCAGGCTGCTTTGCTGACTGTAGAGAGAGGCTACAAGAACGGGAGTATTACTCAGAAAGCAGCTCCTGCCTGCGGTGACTTCCAGCTGCCTCAACCTGTCCCTCTGTGCTGGTCTCCCAGCATGCAGCCCCTGGTTAGGGAGACATGGGGGACTCTAGAATCAGGGCTGCAGACCAACAGGGGACTATGTTGGTCTTACTCCTTCTTCCCTAACTCAGCATGCTCCTACCCATGATGCCCTCGGCCGTGTGCTCTTTACAGAGGGGGGCTTTCTAGCTGTGTGCCTGACTGGCAAGGGAGTTCTGTGAAGGGGCACCCTACATGCAGGCAGCTCCTCGGTACCCGCACCCAGGTCTCGTGGATGACGGATCTGCCAGTGTTAAGCACCCCAGGCGCCCCAGCAGGTGCCCCCTCCAGGCCCTTGACTTTGACTGCCTTTTCCTGCTTCTTGGCTCTTTCTCTGCTTCCACACTTTCATTAGAAGTTTGTTTCTTTCTTTGTGAGAAACTTATGAGTAGGTGGTTTGTGGTGGGAGAAGGCAGAGAATGGAAGAATTCTGGATTATCTGTGGGTTTTCATTAACTGCTCTTTCTGTCCCTCATTACCAGGGATGAATAAGATTTGCTTTATAAAGGATCAGGATGCTTGTGCCATCTTGCAAGAAGTTGTTAAGGACTTTTTCTTAGAATCAAACATTAAGCTAGAAAAACAAATCCAACATAAAACCCTGAAGCAAAAAAGGAATCCAACAGAAAATGCCATTCTGTTCAAACTTATGGCCTGTAGGAAAAATTTCAAAAATATTCCATCAAAGGGCCAAGCAGCAGGCCTCCCGTTTAAGCTCTGCAACTGTTATAGGATGTCTCTCTCTCACATACTGCTTTGAAACATTACCCTTCTCATCCTGAATGATCAAATGCCTTCTCTCGCTGACTCTCATTCTGTGGTTCTGAATAGGGCAGCTATTGTTCTCCAGCAGGGCACGGTTTCAGTGTCACATCATTCTGGCAAAGTATTGACACAAACCAGCATTATTCCTGGATCTGCCTTTCTCTTTGGTCCCCTTTCTTCTGGGCCTAAAGAGATCACATCCAGAAAAGCAGTTGGGTTTTCTAGGTTGGGGCGGATGCTGAGCACTTCCTAGTGGGCTTTTTGGCCATGAAAGAACTGCTCTGTTCTGCCACCCATGGTGCGTGGGTAGAGACGCGCTGTGGTCCCGAGGCAGGGGATGGATTTCCAGAGGTCTCTTGGCTAAAATGCACTACGAAGAACTTTTGTTTCCAAAGTCAATTTATTGAATATTAAGTCATAAAGCCAGTGATATAATTTTAATGAAAAATATCCTGTATCACTCAAGACTTAAAAGAACAAAAATACCTTAGAAACACTGCTTTGAAAAATAATCACATTAACTTTACACACAACAAAGTCCTTTCTTAAGCTTTATTTAAGAAATCGAGTACTATATAGTTCAATATATATAAGACACATCCAGTATTGTGTTCCTGATAGCAAGTGCATAGATTTTGTTAAGATATCATTTTCACTCAATATAAACGTTTCATGGTCACATGAAGGTAATATTCCCAGTGATTTGCCCAAGCATGAGAGGAGAAAACAGAACACAGCAAAAATAGTGAACTACAACAGAGATGAAAAAACAAAAACAGCAAATTAGCAGAACAGTCGATTCCTGATAAGTGAATAAGCTGATTGTTTGGTCACAATGTTTTATTCACTTATCAGGAACGATTCACAGTACATTTATGTTCACTGTGTGTCCTAGCCTGCTAGCTAAGAGTCCGAGCCCCTCGGCCGTGGGCTGGGCAGCTTGTGTGGCTTCCATCAGCAGGGCGGGTGTTGACGGTGCTGCAATACAAAGTGGTCTGTGCGTGGCAAACTGATAACCTTGTTCACACTGCAGCAGGGTCATGCCGACTCAAAACTATGGGTCTGAATTCAGCAGGGACCAACTTGATAGTCATAAGTGCATAAAGGAACTAGCATTTTCATCCCGTTCTTTGGAGAATTATTTGTTGCCTTAGAAGAGCAACAAAAACTGGCTTTGTCTTTCTCTTCCTTTGCTTAGCATGAGTATTTTGTCTTGTGCCAAAAAGGTGGATCTATGTACTTCTAGATTTAAAAAATAAACACTTACACCTTGGAAATAATTTAGTCACCCCCCATACCTCCCAACATCCCCCTCCCACCTCCCTAATACAAAGAAATCACACCCTTAGCCATCCTTTCCCACTAATGTAGGCAGTGTGTTTTCAGAGGCAGACTGCTGAAGGCTATGAGGAGACTGAAAGCCGAAGTGGCGGCAGGAAGTGAGCTCCATCCGTGCAGGCTGGAGCTGGTGGCGTCAGCATCACTGAGGCAGCCAGCCCTGGGGAGGGAGCCTCCCTTCCTCCACCTCGCCAGTCCCCTCTATTGTTAAGCAGACTAGAAAATACAATCTCGGGCCAGAGGGGCTGCTGCAACGAGAGGGTAAAGAGCCTGAGCACCTACTGGGAGAGAGAGTTCACTGGCACCCAGAGGAAGGCTGCCAAGTGCTGGGTGGCCTGAGTCAGACAGAGCTTGTGCGTCTGAAAATAGTGGAAGGAGAGATAAGACAGAGGGAGCAAACATCGACGGAATCTTGTAAGAGCACTTTAAGAGCAATCAGATTCCTGAGCATAGGCAGAACAGGGCCTGTGGCTTCAGTCTGTGAGGGCATAGAAGGAACAGTATTTGATAACTGGCCTTGGGGTGACAGTGGTGATGAGACCTACTCTGAGCTCTTATGTTCATCCAGAAGGGAGTGTGTGAATGCGTATGGCATTATTACCTCGTGTTTGGAAAAGGACAGTAAACTATGAAGACAACTTGAATGTGAGAAACTTGACCTCCCCGTGCCCGCCGCCCCCCAGACTGAGTAGGGCTTCTGTTTGAGCCCTTGGAAATACTTCTTTTCCGTTAGTGTTAATAATTAAAGCTGCTCCTGGATTCAATTAGCTTGTAGAAATAAATAATTTAAATGACTTTTCTATACATATCTTTTGATTGATGGCAACAAATAGACTTAAGTTTAACCCTTTTCACATCTTCTGTTCACCAGCTAAGTTTATTTGTCTTGCCTAGAGAACTCACCTCTTTTAGAAAGGTGATTAGTGTCTATGAAGAGTTTAACTGTACTGATGTGGCTTTGGCCTCGTGGGTATAGAGGAAACCCCAGCAGCAGTTTGGAATGTATGTTAAGAACTGCAAGGATAGACTCATGAGGGAGGAGAGAGAAGGTGAAATTAACCTGTGTGGTCAAGAGACTGCAAAACACCTTGGCAAATCCAACCCCGTAGGCAGTTACTGAGGTGAACTGTAGAAAAAAAGTGTGTAAATCTTGGAAGCAGGAGTTCGAGTGGGCGGTTGTACATAAATCAAAGGTGGCTGTTGTGCAGTTTCCCCTTTCCCAAATCAGATATTCACTTAAGTGGAATCGACTGTATCTTTTTACACAACATAGAGAAAAAAACAGATACGTGAAACAGTGAGGTGTGTAGATGTATCACCAACACATAATGACTACCAACAATACAACACGCAGAGAGAGAAACAAGTATTAGGAAAATGGTTTAATATTGGAGACAGAAGCAAAAAACTGCATCACACAATAACATACATTACAAAAATAAGTTTGACTGTATCAACTACACGGTTATGTTCACAATGAGGACAGAAGAATCAGAAAAAACTTTGATCTAAACAGCAAAAAAGCAAACCCTAAAGTTTTAACTAATACATTTATCCACTTAAAGTGACTGAGTACTTCTAAATCTAATTACCTTATTGTGTAACTGCACAATACAGAATAAAAAGTGAAACTTACCGCTGTTATTTTAAGACAAAATTCTAATGCTAGATATAAGCAAAGGGAAAAAAGAAATCAAGCCAAAGTTTTTAATTCTCAAAAGAAAAGCAACTTTCTTTCTATCAACCCAAAATCAAACTTGAAATCAGTCATTGTCAGGGGCCCACCAGAGTAAGCCCCCAAAATTTCCATTTTTTAATCTCCAGTATAAAAAGTTCCACTGGTACAAAATGCGTAAGTACAATCAGTTGTAGAAATAGGAAAGCCTGCGTATTTTTTTTTTTTTTTTTGGCTCAAATTCCATCAAACAACAAAATCCAAATGCATCAATAAAACAAACAATACTCAAATGGTCTTACAGTTTCCACTAGGGTGCATTAACTTTGGCTTTTCTCAGACAATATTTAAAAACTAGTTTGTAATTCTAAACAAAATGATTATTAATCTATAAACATCAATTCTCACAGCACAAAAAAAACACAAATACATTTTTTGTATGACATTATTCAAAAAGGTAATGAAACTACAAGTTTTTTTTAAAATTTTATTTTTTTAATTAGCACTTAAGATAATAAAAACAAACAGTGAAATGATTCCAGAGTAGCACAAGCCAAAGAACTCTAACCCCTATGGTGAAAGAAAGATGAACTCATTAAGCCTTTGAGGACTGCCATTGTATCACAATTCTCTAATTTAGATTACAAATAACTATTTTCTACATTTGATTAAAAAAGCAGTTTCCCTGTGTGTTTTCTTCTGGCACAGGCCCTTTGCACCCTTGCAGCTTTGTCCTTTTGATACTAAAAGATCAAGTGGATAGAAGGACAGTTTGTCTCTGAAGGAGAAAGTTATCTTTTAGAGAAGGGCAAAAAAGGACTTTACCCCTCATGTCCTCTCTTGGTTACTCGTGCAGAAGAAACACTCGACTGGGAGTGCTGGTCCTGAGCCTCCTGTCCCCTGCCCTCAGTGTTTCCTCTGGGGGAGATGCATGCAGGTGGGTTGAGAGGGAAATGGGGAGGGGCATCTGCTTCAGTAAGGAAATCAAAATTGTTTTTCGTTGAGCTTTATTTAATTGATAAGGAGTTTCAGAATGAAATAGTCTTAGAAATTCAAGTGGTGGGCTCTTGTGTTTCCATGTATGTGTCGACACACACCGTGTTCTCTGAGAGACAGATGTGGTAACTGTTGTTACTAAGCTGATTGCTGCAGGAAGTACAAAATAGCCCTCAGAGGATGAAGGAAGGCCCCAGCAGTAGTAAACACGTGTGACGATAATACAAATCATGTCATTGTAAGTGCATGTGCTTTAAGAAGGAAACGTTTGTTGTTATTAATTTTTTTTTTGCATCAGTAGAGGCTAGTCCTTTCCATCCCAGGGCTATCACATCCACACACACTGATCCTAACAGGGTGCTGAGCATGGAAGGGGAGCTGAGATCAAGAAGCTTCCGGGGCATGCTAGAGAGGAAGGCTGGAGTTTGTGTTGGGGCAGTAGGCATGACATTAGGATTTGTCAAGACAGCAAGGTACCTGTTCACAGAAAGTCATATGGCACTTTAAAAAGTGGCAGCAGGAATTGGTGCTAGGTATTTGGTCAGTAAATTGTGATAAAGAACTGAGCTTTACTTAGATGGTCAGTCCCCTTATAAATGCGTTCAATTAAAAAAAAAAAAAAAAAGAAGGCTGGGAAAGGGCGATGGGCTTCTAACTCCAGACACCTGGTATATTCAGAGGTATCTACTGGGGTCGGAGACGCCCCAGCATAATGGCTGATTAGAAACAGTATTTAGGAGTAGTTAAGAAACAAAAGCAAACCCCTCAAAAGACTATCCTGCCACAAAGTCGTTTTAGTACACAGTATATGAAAATATTCTAGACTAGGACACACTGCTAAATGTGATCTCAAAAGCATACAGGATTGTTAGGTGCTGAATCCACCTCCGTTTTCCCTCTCGGTTTATCCAATTAAAACTCCAGAGGAATTCTAGTAGCACGGTAGGAATTCTTTTCCAAAAAACAATGAGAAATAATCAAAAGTAGTGTAGGATTTTTTTTTTCCCCTTTAGATTGGCCTCATGGAATCTTTTGGATCTTAATTCTTTTGGATCTTAACCAAAGAAAAAGTAGGCATCGGAAACAACTTAGAGGACAGATGCAGGGAAAAATATCCAAATTAGAAACACCCCAAAACAAACTCAAATCATGACAGTAGAAAATGTTAACATTCCAGATAGCTCTGGGTAGAAAGGGTTAAAAGTTCAAAACTTTCTCACCTTAGAGGTTTCCATAGATTATGAAGAAAATACATGGTGAGGTTGCCTTCATAGCACTGATGTGCGGAGTGGTTAAAAAAGTGGGACATGGGCACTTATACAATGTCTTACAAAAAACATCAGAGAAATAACAAACAATAACAATTTCAGGCAACAAGACCACAGGATAGCAAGTTAACAAACTTTTTAACCTTTTTTTTTTTTTTTTTAAATATTAGGGATTTATACAAAACACATAATAAAATACCCATGTTATCAAATTACTTCTCACAAGAAACACACTGAAGCTCTAGGAAGGAAGTACCTTTGGAATTTGGCACTATATATTTTCACTTTTTTTCTTTAAAAGAAAAAACAGATCACATTTTGCTGAACACAAACACATCTAAATAGTTCACAATTAAAAAAAATGACATCAATGCTTCACAAGCCAACACAAAACTTATTCTGGAATAGGTTTTTTTTTTTTTCCCTCACATGAAATTTGTTTTAAGCAAACAACATTTTTTTTTTTGAAATTCTTTTTTTTTTTTTGTATTAAGTAAACCAATTCTAAACTTGTCTTATCAACAAAGAACATTAAGACCATAAGACTCATGATGAAACCACAACTTAATTCACAGAAGCACCAACATAACACAGTTTACAGTAACCTTTCTCCTGTACATTGAAACAGTATAAAATATAGGTAATTTCATGTGCATTAAACCATGGATTGTCTAACTGTGAGTTCAGCAAAAGGTGACACAAATAGGTAGCATTTGCCCCAAAACAGGGTAAATATTTTTCTTATACTAATCTACAAAAAGTGGTTCTATATATATATCTTAATGAGAAAGTGAGCCACCTAAAATGGCCTTATCAAAAAACTTTACACTGCCTGAAAAATGTAAAAACTATTACAGACCTCTAGAGACTTAAAATCAGACAGTTTTTTTCTCAAACTGTTTTTGGAAGTAGTCTGTTAGAAACCAACATTCTGTGTCCCTGGACACATATTGCTATTGTTACCAGTGACCGGGAAGAATGCCAATCCCTGTATAATACTTTCAAGTCTGTTTTATGAAAAGAAAAAAAATAAGAAAAAAACATTTTTGCCACAGGTTTTTTCTATAATGAATTTGTCTAATAAATTTCAGTCTTGCATGAATGCAGCAATGTTTTTCACATTGACTTCCCAGAATTCATAGCTAGATGAGGTCACATGCAAATTTCAAAGGTCAAACTAGATCAAAGGTCAGTAGGAGAACCAAATATGATGTGAGGTCAGAAAGACATCAGAAACAATGACGGGACGATGAAACTTTTTTTTTGAGACGCCACAGGGACATGCTAGGCAAACGATGAACTAACGGGCATGAAGATGTCTAGGGAAAAAACAAGAGTAAAAAGTTACACAGAATCTATGCAGCAGCAACAAAATAACTTTTAAGGGTGCGGGAGAAAATCTAATGCAAATCTTCCATTATTAGGGAGTGTCCGAGCCATTCACATAATTTGCATTTCTTACACTCTTTATCCACAGCACAATGAAACCCCAAGAGAATCCATCTGGAGAGAGTGAGAGGGGATGGATTCTGGATGTTGTGGGGTGAGGGACAGGGGAGAGGGTCCAGTTTCAACAAATGTGACATACGGGGAAAGTCAGACGACTGAACTGTAAACTAGATAATGGAAGTTACGAACAAAATCATCACACAGATACAAACAACGAGAAGATAAAGCATGAACTTTAGGTCTAGGGTTCAACGGTGAAAAAAAGCCCATTCCTAGAACAATTCCTCTAGAGACTACTTCAGAAGGTTCTAGCTAGACAGAGAACTGCTCTTTAGGTACCCAATAAGTTAACAATAGGCAATAAATAACTTCCATTATTTCTGAGGCAGTAAAAATTTTGTATAAAAATAGAAATGCTTTTTTTACAAATAAAATTTACAGGCCTGTGGCTTTCTTTTTTATTTATGTATTTATGTATTTATTTATTATTATTAAATTTATCTTTCAAGAAACATCAAGTATTTTCACTCATTTTTATTTTTTAAACCCTGTAGCTTTAAGAAACAGATCTCTAAATCTTTTTGTACATTAATCCTTTCTAAAAACTAAAATAAAACAATAACAAAGTAGACAACCAGTGTAATAATTTGACCAATAAATGTTATGTTTCTTTGAACCCTAAAATAAAATCCTACTTAGTAAAACAAGCCGATGTAGTGGAAAGACGTGTGGTTGGAGTAAGTGCTTCTCCTGGCTTCTCCCTCTCCTAGGCCACCACGTTAACCTCTAAGTGCCGGGCCCTCCCTCCAGGGGCGGGTGCCGGACAAGGAGGGGTGAATTCTCCAGGCAGTGCTCTCGGGGCACCAGTGGTTTCAGAGTTAGAATTGCACATTAGCGTTTGTTTGCCTTTTAAATTCTCAAGATGCCATTTATTTGTGTATATGCTTCTCTTTAAAAAAGCAAAAACAAAAAAAATTTTAAGAAAAAGGTAAAAGGAGATTCAAATTGCAAAACAAAGGAGAATACAGTGGCACAACTGGAGGAGGAATTTACTCAATAGAAACAAGGTAGGCCAAGTTTTAATTATGGCAAACTGGGTAGGGGAAGTGGGTGGGGACATGGAGGCCTTATTGTAAAAATAACCGTCTCTCTTGGTAAAAGTTGGCAATGTGGTCCTCCTCTGCCTTTCCTGTTGAGACAGGCTGGCTCGTGGGACTTACCCTAAGAAAGCTAAAATGAGAGCAGGGAGCCTCTGGGGTTGGGATCAGTAAGGTTTGCTGTCGTTTTTGGAGCGCTTCAGCTGCACCTTCAAGCGTTTCATGCCGATCTGAAAGCCATTCATAGCCTGGATAGCAGCTTGTGCAGAGACTGGATTGTCGTAGCTAACAAAACCTGGAAAACACCAAGGGTGGGAGTCAGACTGGAGAGGGACCCCAGCAGAAAAGGAAGCCAGGGCTCTGGGGAGGGCTCAAGAGGCAGCATGGGGTGGCAGCCCCACAGGTTCGCCAGTGCTCTGCCCTACTGATTGTGTGTCCACCATGAGTGGACAATGATGCAAGCCCATTGAGCAGCTAGACTGAAAGGTAGTCCGAAGAACACACCCCTCCCCAGAACACTGAAGTGTCAGACACAATTGTTTGCGGGAATTCAGTTCCATTTACTGAAGTTGCTGAAATCATTGTGTTTCAAGTCTCTCAGCATCTTTCCGAGAGAACCCCAGGTATGTAAATGCTACTCAGCTACTCATACAAGAAGTGGCATAACTATTTCAGGGCTGCAGGGGCTCACATGTCCCAGCCAGGTGAGGCCAACAGGCAGGCTTGGGAATGGCTGGAGAAAAGCAGATCCTGTCAAGCCCCTGCTTCACTCCAGCTCTCCATGGTCTGTCACACAGAGCCCACACCTGTTTGCCTGGAGGATGGATCAATTAGCGAGTTAACTCTACCGGTTGGGACCAAGGAGACTAGGGAAGTGCTGGGCCTTTCTCCTTATCTCACTTTTCAACAGAAAGTAAATTGCTACCTGGGAAATCTCAAAGTCTGGGGGCATAAACAGTCAAGGGCTTAGAGCTTAATCATCTGATGAGAATTCCCCATGTCTTACTCTGTAGCAACTACCTCTACCAAAAACAGCAGGGAGGGCATGCTTTTGAAAAAGGACTACTGCTACTCTGCAAAGACCCAGAGACAAGAGGACCTCAGTCTCAGAGTCTGCTCTAGCACTGGGCGGTGGCAGCAGAGGTGCAGCAAGGCTGTGGAGGGGGGTGACAGGAAGTTATTGTCCTCATTTACTTTTAGGTGTGAACGTCAGCTGTTCAGAAGGTTCTGTACTAAGCACCTCCATCCATCTGCTATTAAAGATAAAGAGAAAATTCCTTGACAAACTGGAGGAGGAAGAAAAGGACATGACTTTCTGTACATTCTCAGCTGATAAAAAGGGGCATGCAGCATAACGCTGGTCAGCTTTTCAGAGGCAGGCCGTAATGCAAAGTGGCTGTTTAAATTTTTATTCCGTCTCATTCCTAATAAATGGGATCTGAGATTTTTGCTCTGACTTTCCTTTCCCTCAGGGTCTACAGCAAGATAGTTAGAGAATGTAAATGGACAAAGGATAACAAAACCTGGCTAAGAACTAGGAAGGAAGGAATGGGGTATTACCTTATGACTGGCAACCCTAAGCAATTTGGCTGGCTCATCAGGCAACCTGGGTGCTACAGTGATTAACAACAATGGAAACCAGTTCATCATGCTCAAGAATTGTCTGCTGACACTAATAGCTATGGTTTACACTGGCTAATCTGTTGTCAAGGAAGTAAATATTAAATCATGAAGCAGAATGCCCTTCCAAATAAACCTAGAGTATTGTTAATGAAAAATAGAAGAGGCAGCCTCAAAACCTTGTAAACCTTGTGTAGGGAAGCCTCCCTAAAGTAGGCTCATGCTCAAACACACACATCCTATCATGATTTCATTTGCATATCACTCTCTACTGTCACAAAGGGGTTTATACAGTTGCCACAGCAGCAGCCTAATAATGGGTTCCAGGTGACAGCTTTGCCACTAGGGTAATGTGACTGTAAGTGGCTGACATGTGGAGTCCTTTGATGGTGCCTTCAGACCTTCCTGGGTGATAGCAGAAATGAGAAAGATCTTATGATAATAGTTTTAGAAGCCAAAACATTATCTTTGGACTGGTTACCTGTTACCAGCCAGAGTTAAGTTTAAGAACCACCCTCCCTTTGCTATTTTCCTTTATAGCACTCAATTCTGTGTGTTTCCTCTAGCCCCTACCAAACTTGGTTTTATGCTGTTATTACCTCCCACTGACATGAATTACTAAATTGCAGGAGTGATTAAAGCAAATATTCTAGCTCAAACTGGGCCCTGAGCTTGTCAAGTAATATACAGTTTGAACATCTTGGCCTCTAAACTGCTTTGGGGGCCAATAGGGTTTGAAAAATGAAACAAGGAATATATTTAATGAATGCTATTGTCCCAGTGTGAAACATCAGTATGGGAAGTGAGCTTCCCTTACTCCCTAAGGGAGTGAAAACCACCACAGGAAGCAGAGTCAAGGACGACTGAGGAAAGGGCACATGGCAGCTCAGGTAACAGCTGCACGCTCCTGGACTCCATATTTATTCCCACAACCTCTGCCAGTCTCACACTCCCCCACTGTGGCTTTCAGATCCCATCGTCATGCAGTGCGCTGTGTAACCATGAGATCCGTCAACCGTGCATCCTGGGAACGTGGATGAGCAGTGTGTTGAGGCTGATGAGTGGGTTTCTTTCTGTGAAAGTGTTTGTCAAGGCCAATAAGCCCCTAATGTGGTGTTGCCCATAACCATGTGTCTGAAGTGTACTAAACCTGGAGGGGTAAGGAATTAATGGGAAAGATGGGCTAAATGTGGTTAGACTCCGTTAATAGAATAGTCTAGAACATTACCTAAGGCATGGGCATTGACATTAATTTCCCAGAGTCACCTTTTGTTTGCCCAAATCTGCTTAAAAGGATCCAGAGAGTGAGAGCCCCCCACCACACGGGGAAGGCCCTATGCTGACTGAAATTGCCAGTCACGTTTTCCTTCCCATGACTCTTCACTTGGGAGCCCAATGCAATATTCTAGCTTAGTTTCTTTTGCATACCAAAGCACTTGCTCAGATTGGTCTGTTTGTCAATGAAGACTTTAGCAGAGATAACATTTCCAAAAGGCATGAACATCTGCAGAATGTCCTGGTCTCCAAATTCTTGTGGAAGGTGGTAAATAAAGAGGTTTGCCCCCTCTGGACCTAAGGAGGAAAAAAAAAATCAGAGTAAGGTATTCCTTGAGTCTTAGTTTCCAAAGTCTTTTCTTAGGAATACTGTAACAACAGGTAGGCTAAGCATTTCGCTTTCTTTCAATACAAAGAACAAAACAGATCGGTAAGTGTAAAGTGCTGAAGTGACTTTCAAGAAAGCAATCATCCTTCAGATTTTCTTGATTTCCAAAGACATGCTGGCTACGAATGGCTTCCTTTTCACAGACAGTCTTCTGTGAGTCCCTGGTACTACAGCCCCCTGGCATGCATTTCAGTCACCTCTTGGGTGGCCATATTTTCTCAGGTATAGACAGGCTCTGAGAAGAAAAAAGGGTGCTCTGTGCATTCTAAGCAAATTGTAAAAATTTAGAATAAATTTGCCTAGTTGTCTAGTCAGTTTTGATTTGCCAAGTCTCTTAACACACAGTCTAATAATCATCTTTATGAGAAATGACTGGCACTGAGTCGACGCAAGGAAAGAAGGTAGCCTGAGTCTCGGCAAATACCGAGGCAAGCCAAGCTCTGCCTGCCCACCCTCCTTTCCCAGCAAATACAGGCAGCAAGGAAAAGATCTTGGCTCCACCGGTTGCAGAGGTATGTGCTCCTAAGCTCCCCTCACTTTCCCTCTTCTGACTCTTCCCCACCCATATAAGCACCATTTGAAAGTTAAAAGCAGCACAAAAGGAAAGAAATATAAGCCGAGGGAGATAAGGGCTGGTTGTTTCTTGGGCATTCCAGGCATGGAGTCTTCCAAGGAGGGGCGCTCACCGAACTGGTGAGGTGACTTCTGCAGCACATCAGGAATCCTCAACTGGCCTCCACAGGAAAGGAACAGGCCTGCCTGCCGAACTGGACAACCCCAGGGGACAGCTACACTGGGGTTCCTAGATGCGGGAAGGGGGTCTGTGTGTGAGATGAAGAAAACTAAAATGGGGATAAAAAGAACTTTGTAAAAATGTCAAACCAAGCCTCTTCCCCTGCCTAGACAAGGTAAATCACAAAAAACTGTCCTAATGGTTAGGACTTTTCACAAAGAAAACTTCTTGAGGCAAACTGTGGAAGCCACAGAGGTGGAGTAGTTCTTTCTCATTTAAAAGTGGGTCTTCATGACTACTGTAAATTTTTATATTGCTTCCAATTTCCATGGACATATCCATATTACAGGCCATGGGGAGGAGTGTGTTTTAAAGGGACATGATTGCAGGGAGGCCTTGAGTCCCCAGATATTTTCTGGTTTTAAAAGAATCAAAACTTAACATGAAAAGATGCAAAACCCAAAACACTGGAAAGGGATGTTCTGAGTGCTGCTGTGTGTGCATCCTCGGCGATATGTTTGCCGGTCAGATTTGCTGTCCCCAGCTTTCATGTTCCTGCTGCACAAAAGATCCAAATGCACAAATGAGGGTTACTGGGCCCCAATCTGAACTGTGAAGCACATCTCACCTCCTGAAGCTGGGGTGAAAATACAGTTTCAGTGCACATGACAGATGATTGGGTATGCCTGAGTAATCCTAGCTCTCTAGAACGTTGCTCATGCTGAATGTATCTTTGCCCAACAGAGACCGAGGAAACACAGAGACCACTAAACAAACACAAGTAGGTTTTGTCCTTTTGCTCCTGATACTCTCCCTAGAAAATGTCAGTAGCGTCTCTTGACACAGATTCCCCAATTTTTTCATCACGAAGAAACAGTTTGGTTTTGTATATGCCTCAAGTTTTTAATACTAAAGGGAGAACAAATATTTCATATGGAAAACCTCCCTTGTATGCAAGTAAGGTGGCTGAGATGAAGAGGAAAAAACAAAACACATTAAAAAAAAAATGAGATTTTTACCTGTGTGTCATCTCTCTTCCTCTAGAAGTGGGACATACCTGTTCACAAGTCACCCCTTCATCAGATTTCTCCTGGTGCACGTTACTGTCACTTGATAGATTCTCTGGTACACTCACTACTGGTCCTGGCTGTTGGGGTGTTCATATTTTGTCCCTCTCATAGGGCACCTGATCTGGCATAAAGCACTGGGGATGTTTGTAGGAGCAAAGCTTTATGAGGCCACCAGTGTCCCCCTTCCTCAGGGGACTCGCCTCCTGCAGGTGGTAGGGAGATGTGGGCCACCAGAGGCTCACTTCCTGTCCGGGGAAACCACTCCAGGCACGTGACTAAATCCGTCACACTGACTTCCAGGTCTTGTGACCTTTCACAGAACTGTGGAGTAGAAAATCTAAACATCTATTTAGTACTGGAATTCATTATTAGTTTTTGCTCTGCCTGGCATCATTTGCTTTTAAAATTACATTTTAAATATTAGGAAGATGTTTTAAATTTCTTGAACACATATTAAATGAGTAAGAAGGGAATCAGAAGAGAAGGATGAGAAGGTGGGAGATGATTAAAGAAATGCTGAACAAACAAAAAACCTGAAACCATGCTACTGAAAACCCATGCCCTTAAATCCAGAGCTGGCAATGGTTATTTTGGCAGATTTTATCTTAATCTCAGAAGGGAAATTACTGCACTAAGCAGTAATCCCTAAAACTCAACATGAGGAAGTTGAGGGCAGTGGGCTCAGGTGAAGCAACTCAAAACATGCTGCTTCAGGGTCCAGACTTTATCCCAAACAGTGATATAGTTTACTGGAAGGCCCTCCTCTAATGGAGAATTGACCACCATTCTCTCAAACCATGGGAGCAACCGGCCTTCTGGCCTCTGCGTGAGGATATCATCATCCTACAGAATCCTGCTCTCTGCCCTCAATGACAGCACAATACTCAGACCACAGACAAAAGGAACACACACAGGCCTTTCTTTGGGAAGACGGGTGATGTTTATGATGTAGAGTCTCTTTCACAGGCCTGGGGGAACCACAGTTATCTGAACCTGTGCATGTTTCAAAAGCCTACAATAGCCACAGCTAAGAATAAAGAGAAAGTTGAAATAATGAAAAGTAACTTAGCCTTTCATATAGTTTTCATTTTAAAAGTGATCTCCATGTTATTTATACAAAGAAAAAAATCTTTCCCTTCCTTCAAAAAAATACATTAATATCTGTTAAGCTGTGTTCTCTCAAAACCCACAACTTGTTTTAAGTCAGAATATTCAGATAAAAGCAGTTTACAACTATGGGGAGGGTAAAAGAGAAGGGAAAGAAAATCTCCTTTAGTACTTCTCTATTCTAGCTTTTTAAATCCCGTATCTAAAGAAGTCAGAAGAAAATAAGTATCATTTAGCAGATTTTGCTCTAAAGGAGCTTCAAAATTAAGGAAGAATCAAATAAAAGAATGACCAATGATCCTTATTTGGACTTATGAACCATTTCATACTTAGCTTTAATTTATTCTTAGCATTAAATTCCTGGAGTTTATTTTGCTTTACTGGCAGAGAAGCAAGGTAATCAATCACTTACTTGCTTTCCCTGAAGACCCCCAATTAAAGACCAAGTCAATCCTAACCATGGGTTTTGTCATTCACCTGGAAACCATCGCCTACCGAGAGCCAGCCACATAATCACGGGGTGTGTGGACTCGAAAATCCTGGCAAACACAGGACAGAGAGTGTTTCACCTACCGAAGGCTGTGGCCATCCATCTCCTTCCACTAACAAGGAGTTTCTGTCTATGGGAAAGTTGATGGTCTATGCTGACTTGGGAGAGGGAGGTCCCTGGGAATTTTCTGTAGGCAGCAACTATTAGATCATTTATGGGAAATGAGTAGTTTAAAGAACTTAATTATGGGAGGGGGTGAGTAGTCAGAGGATATTTGGGGATTGTAAGAAAGGTGATCAACGTTCCTGGACTTAGAGCTGCAGAGATGCCATAACCCTTCAGAAGATGTAACTGGGGAAAAATTTAAAACCATTTATCTGCAAAGTCAGACTGGTATATACACACACAATGGACAAGAACGTCATCTAAACAAGATGGATGAAGAATTAAATTAGAAGGTAGCTATAAGACCAAAGGAGAAAGACTGAAATCAATAGTCAGGTTTTTGCTTTTGTTTGAGGGAAAGGGGTCTGTGTTCCCTGATGGGAGTACAGTGGCTATTCACAGGCACGACCATGGCTCACCGCAGCCGCAGCCGCAGCTCCTGGGCTCAAGCGATCCTCCCACCTCAACCTCCCAAGTAACTGGGACTGCACGTACATGCCACCACATCCAGCTTTCAGTTTTTTTTTTTTTTTTTTTTTTTAACATGAATAATAGAACAACTGCTTTCTGTTATGACATGGCTTCAATTTGATACCTGCTAACCGTACTCTAGAGGCTAGTACTGCCTGTTGGGCTGGGCCCTGCAGCCCCTACCCGAGCCAAGGGTGGCACCTACCTTCCTTCTGGCTGCCTGCAGCACTCTGCTGCTGCAGCAGGCTCTGGCTGTACAGAGTGGGCAGCGCGGCCGCTGCGTACTGCTGAATTCCTGAGTAGGCCTGGGTGAGGGCGTCCATGGTGCCAGCCGTGCCATTCGTCAAGCCTGTGGCGCCAAGTCCTCCATTCAGAGCCGCCATACCTGAGAGCATTTGAGCAACTTTACAAAAAACCCAACAATAGAGAAGAGAAACAGCACTTATTCATTAGTGCTTTCCAAAGGAAGTTAGAGAATCATTTGACACAAGTACAACAGCAAGTACATGCAGCTAGCACACAATTACACCGACAGGAAATTAAAAATGAAACTATGAAGAAAAAAATGATGATAATGGGGAAAAATGACCTAAGCCATGAGAACCCTGACTCTCTAGGCCAGTGATTCAAATGTACCGTGGCACTAGTTAGATGAGACAGCTAAATGCCATGCAGCGTGCTACTGGCAAGTACCATTGTTATCTTTTGGAAATAAAAGCCTTTTGCTTCTCAGAGGCTAGGAGCATGTAAAACACCTTAGGAGCAGAGGCCTGTAACATCTGTACACTGAAATCCATGTACTGGGCTCTCTGAGGAGCTATGGGATGGCTTGCAGGGCTGAGGAGGAAAGGATGAAATAAAACTTTTTTCCCTTAAGCTGCATGTAAGGAAATGGCAGAAAGGACAAGTTCTGCACTCCTGGACCCACTGGACCCGGTTCTGGGAGTTCTAGTGTGCGAAAACTGGCTTTCTCCACCACTAGATAGATAATGATGTCAGGAACTAGGACCTTAGGAATAAGTAGCCTGGGTGATGATGAACTGAGGCACAGGAAGAAATGTGGGCGCTTCCCAAAGTCACAGAGCTGAAGCTACTCATTCAGAATCAGAGTGGTGCTGTTTTCAGCAGCACACACACACCTGAGTGGCAACTGGGGTTTCAGCCACTGAAAGAGCTCCGTGTCATGTTTTCCAGTCAGCCAGAGACAGAGCCATGCCTATGGGCTGGATCTTGGCTATCACTTGATGGGAATGGCAAGGTGGCCAGCAGACTCGAGTTTCTCCCCTTGTTTCCTGGCTGCTCTTTGGCTCTACTGGGGTTGCTGACTGTCACATTTTCCTTGAATACTGACTCAAAGCAAGCAACACTTCATAGAGTGCTAACTTCCATAAGAACTCAGGAAATGGAAGAAGTGACATCACAATGACCTCTAGATCCCTTTATGATCACAATTTTTAAAGAAAAGATCTGATTCTGAGAAGATCTTACAATTGGAGATATGAAAACAGCAAAGATGACTAACTGAAAAACAGGAAAGAAGTCTAATGAGAACGGAGGACAGCGAAGGTAGGCTGCCTGGAAACACCAGGGAATCCGGCAGCAGACTGACCGCCACACGCCTGGCCACACAACTGCCCTAACAGAGCCGGGGGAATGTTCTGTTTACTCCACTTGTGCTTCTGTTTGGCCAACTTCACCTCTTCAATTAAAAAGGACACGTGTTAAGATATGAATTGGGCCATGGCTTACTAGTGGAGGACTGTCATTGTGCCTCAGCTAGGGTATTCCTGTGCTTCTCAGAACAGACACCAAGCAGGGGCGGCGAGGAGTGTGTGAATGGCGTGAGGAAGAAGTGACAGCCTCCAGGGTGCAGGCTCAGCTAAGAGGTGTTGCAGGTGCAGTCTGGCTGGGTCTGCTTTCGTTTCTTACTATGAAGGGGTCTGTTCTCTCTTTTTATGTCACATAAGTGCTGTCCAAAAAGCATCTACACAGATTGTTCTAATTGCTTTAAATGATCCCTCAGACACCAGCAAATCACAGTCACCTTCCTGCTACTGTGGCCACCAGGAGCTGGGGAGTCATTTTTCTCTTCCTGAAATAAGAGTGGTCTTATTTCATCCTCACCTCCCAGTATTTTTGTGATGCAAAGACACGTCTGTGTTTTCTGCGACAAGTAAGAGGAGTACATATGATAACTTGGGAAGGGCCGGGCACCGCCGATCAGTTCTGTTGGTCTCACTTTCGCCAGGATGTCAACAGGGCTGTGGATTACAGATGATCAAGCTCTGGGCACAGCCCTCAGGAAACACAGATGCCTGTGTAGAGGCAATGCTGGCGGGAGGGGAGCGGCGACTTGCCACTCTGCTTGGATTCCAGGGCATGAGGTTCTTCTGGCTGTGCCTTGATGCCAGATGAGCATGGGGTGAAGAGGGCAGCTCTGCTTCGATGGATGCCTCCAAGTTCCCACGGAGGGGTGGGGAGCAGCGCATCACCATGCTGCCTTGTCTGCTGAGGGTCAGAGTCTTCAGGCCCTGCCACGTGAGACCCACAGGGGCACCTTCCTGTGATATGCAGCTTCCACGACTTGGCTACTCCAGAGTGCCAGATACACGGGTGGCATTTCATGGCAGTAGCCACTGGGCCCCAACTCCTTTCTCTGCACACAGCCGTTTTTTAATTATCCATGTCAGGAAAACCACCTTTCTACTTTGAACTTTTTCCTCTTTTTGTCAAGAATGTTTTTCTCTTACAACACAGAAGCAGAATGAACTTCCTGCTCTTGAAATACTGGATGGGTGTTTCAGAGGGTATTCTGAGGCTTGAATGTACAGTCCAGACAGTGACATTCCAGCCACACCCTCCACTCCTGGGTACACTTCACAGAGGCTGACTGTGTCTCTGGACTATACCTCAGAGGTCATCTGCTTTCTGGAAGGGTCGTGCATGTAGGAGACAGCTGTGACTGGCCCTGTTTGCCTGGGGAACGGGGGAGGTGGCAGAAGTGGCACCATGAGCAAGGGATGCAGAGGCACAAGGGGCCTGTGCCGGGGACAAAGGGAGGGTCTGGCCTCTCCAGCCCAGGGCTCACCACCTCCATGATATAAATATCCTTGTGAACAAAAAAGTTCTAACAAGTACCAGCGCACGGAGAATATTTTAAACCACAACTAAGAACTTCTGGGAAGGTGGTTCCTAGGTCCAGGGCGGAAAAGCAGCTGAACACATGGTAGGATTTGAAGAACCATCAGAGGCGGTCTTCCACTTCTGAGAACAGTTCCTGTGAATCACCTGATGTGCTCTAGATGAAATAATTCTATCACAGATAGTGTTTGTTAACCCTGGCTGCAGCTACCTGATTAGCTCTAAAAGCTCTGGATAACAGAAGCAGAGCTGTAAAGAAAGTTAAGTTGAATAAAATGCTTCCACTTCAAAGAATAGGGATTTTCCTTGAAATGGCCACACGGATCGACCACTTCCTCTCATTTACTGTCATCTCCATTCCTGTGCATGCTATTTAGATGAGGAAGGCTGGAAGCAAGTGACAGGTGTGGCAGTGCACAGCAGGGAGGCCTCTGCACCTGGCCCATCAGGAGGCTGGGATGCAATGTGACTACTGAGTGCTTTCTGCTTAATTACTCTCCAGAGGCCCTCAACTTTCGATAGAGACCCAGGAGCTGGGAGATGACTGAATCTGTTAACATGACACTGAAGGACTAACCCAGAAACATGAACGTGACTATTTTTTGTACAGCTGGGGGGTGGGGGGTGGGCGGGGGAAGCGGAAAACAAAGGAGATGACACTGAAAAGTAGAATCACAAGCCAAGTGCCATAAGCAGATCACATTTACTGCAAGCTGTCCTGCTAGGTTTTATCCCAAATCAGAAAGAAAATGGAATAATATTCTCAACAGATTTCTAACCACTTCACTGGTGTCTAAGTTTTCCTTTATACAGATGAGAGATTATCCTTCTAAGCTGCAAGCTGATAAATGAGAAGTATAAAATGTCTACAACTAGGGTAGATGAAGATCACTACACTGGGTGTCACTTATACACCTGCCTCTGTTATTACGGGCACAAATGTGTGTGGGGCTGTGTATAACTTTATGCATATTAGGAATACAGACTAAAACAGTAATTTCACAATGCAAATAGTGCCAAGCCACAAAAATATTCCCAGAGCATCTTCTCTTTTCTGTACTTCACAGAAAATATTTCCATAGACACTTTTCAGCAGGCATCTACAGCTGTTTTTTTGTTTTTGTGTTTTTTTTTAAAACAGTCATAATTTTAGCACTATATAGTCAGCCATTTGACCTACGCAATAAAACAAGAAAAAATAGAGATGTCACTTGGCATACACTGAAACATAAAAACAGAGACAGACTCTTGAGTCAAAAAAGTATGTTCTTCACCTTAGTTCAGGTATTATCATACAAAACATGCTCAGGGAACCCTGAAAAAATCCGGAGGTGAACACCGATGGTGATTCACATGTGTTCCTTCTTTTGATGTTGATGATTCTTTCATTTTTATAGCCCTTTCCTTCATTAATGTATAAGGGAATAAAAAGGATATCAAACTCAAACAGTTTAATTTAGCTGCTTGTCTACTGACCAGAAACTTACTTTTTTGGGAGAGGTGTTAGGGCCTCGGGCAGGAAAGAAAGTAAAACATAGGTTCTAGTGAGCCATTGACCTGCTTTCTTGCTGGCTGCTGTGTCGGTGGGCAAGAGCTGGCTCTATTCAGACAACCTGAATACTCTCCAGATGGAAACAAATAATGGCTGCTGAGATGGGATTAACAGCAGTGCTATGGAATGCTCAGTCAACTATTTGAGAAGCTGACTCTGTCCAGATAACCACTGCTTGACAACTTCCTTTGGGAACTATCCAGTGGAACTGATAGTATAATCATCTTTGTGGAGAAGGAATGGTCTCAAAGAGGATACTCGATCTTGTAAGGTTTACTCTTGATATTTAGCAACAAGCAGCAAATATTAGCTCCAGGTCAATGCTGAGATTGTAAAACAGCTCTGCATTAGTAACCCTTTCCAATTATAAGGAATGGATTTTCATTTGTGCCTGGTTTTGGGTTTAATATTAAACATTTTCTTGGTTCATACTATCTAGTAGGCGTTACTTGAAACCAGAAATGTTCTTCATTTTCTATGAACTATACAGACTTATACGAACCCAATGGCAAATAATTTCAAAAAGCAAAACAATTTAAAACTGTTGTCCTTGCCAGAAGCAAAATGTATGTCACACAAGACCCCACATAAGAACTACTCATGGTTTCTCTGCCATTCAACACAGCCCCGCTCCAGTCCCTGACGAGTACGATGGGAAAATCTCAGCAATGCAGAGCAGAGCAGCGTGGACAGGGCAGGACGCAGACAAGAGGACACACACACACACCAGTCATGAGCACGTGCTGAGGAGGACAACCATTCCCACTGGCCTGTTACTCTTCAGACCAAGGACAGGCAGGCGGTCAAATCAAAGTCCTTGTTTTAGGGGAACTAGGTCCTGGGGCAAGAGAAGCAGCATGAGGGGATGTGTGCGAGCACAGACGTCCTCGACCTAGGTGAAGGACATGGTCAGAGCGAGGAGCTGTACCGGAAACAGGGGTCAAGGCAGTGAGGTTCCTACTTGGCTGCTGGAAAAGTCAAAGCTGGAAGCGGTTCTAATGAATTAAACACTGTGGCTGCCGCAGGGCTACCACTTCACGGGCTCCACGCTAATCACAAGCCATCCCATTTGGGAGGTATGGTCAGCTAAAACTTGGTCCATGTTTTTGTTTTTCCCAGAGCTTCTGAATAAATGGATGTACTACAACCTGAAAATGTCCTACTTTTTTCTTTTGAGATGGAGTCTCACTCCGTCACCAGGCTGGAGTGCAGTGGTCTAATCTTAGCTCACTGCAGCCTCTACCCTCCCAGGTTCAAGTGATTCTCCTGCCTCAGCCTCCCGAGTAGCTGGGACTGCAGGTGCACACCACCATGCCCAGCTACCTTTTGTATTTTTAGTACAGATGGGTTTCACCATGTTGACCAGGATGGTCTCAATGTCGTGACCTCATGATCTGCCCACCTTAGCCTCTCAAAGTGCTGGGACTAGAGGCGTGAACCACCATGCCTGGCCAACTACTTATAAACATGATTTATCAGGATTATAAAAGTTAATTTTTATTTGGATAAATTTTAGGTTCATTTTTCTACCAAGTCCATGGCAAGGTATTCTGAGCTTGTATAGTATGAAACTACTGGGATTAATTTGCTTTTGAAAATAATATTGCCTGATTACCCTTATATTAATTTGCTTTTAAAAATTATATTGCCTGATCACCCAAAAATAGTGCACTTATTGAACCACTTATTGGTTTAACATAGGGCAACAACTGTCAAGGACTCATTTATTAGAAATGAGAATGGGCAGGTGCTGGGCTGCCTGGTGGGGGGCGGGGCTCCTGTATCAGCAGCTCTGTTGGCTGTCATGGATCTTCTGGGCTTGGCTACTCTTGGGCAACCAGGGAGTCGGAAACGGAGGGACAGGGACATTACATGTCCCCTCTGTGGGCTGAGGATCAGTTTCCCCAGTGTAGGAACCCACACCAAGCACGAACCTAAAACATGACTTATCCTCTGGGTGGCACACTGTTCCCCTCATCAACCGAGAATGACAGGAGCAGGTGGGCTGCAGAGAGCAGAACCTGGAGTTCGTCGGTCACTCCATCTGGATGTCTCGGAACCAAGTACAATTCTGTGAGTGATTTGCCTCCAGCCTATTTCAACCTGCCACAGCTAAACAATGTCCCTTTGGATGGTCACTGATGTAGAATGACCAGTGCCTGTGGTGCTTAATAAAGATTCCGATCCTGTCACTTCGGGCAGTGGCTCCTCTCCCCTCAGTTTCATTTCCTTCTTTCCAAGGCCTCATTTTGTCCCCTATTTAACTGTCATGAATCTTTGGACTCTGGAGCTGGAGGGAACCTTTAAGAATCATCTGATCCAGAACTTTCCATTCTCAAATGGAGATGATCAAGCCTACAGAGGGAGCAGCATCTGCCTGAGTTCCCACAGCTGCCCGGCAGCAGAGCTGGGTTCAGGTTTCTAGCCTTCCAGTCCATGAACTTCCCATAACACCCTGCCTCACAGACAGAACTGACCAAAATCAAACCAAACTCCTGGAAACCTGAAAATAGCTGCCAGCCACAGAACCCCATGGATGAGCACATGTGCTGTGCTACACACTGAAAAGAATCTGGGGATGGAGAGTGGTCAGGGAATTTTTGCGGCAAATTGAGCGTAGACAGCTTCTGCCTATCAAAGCATGTGCTCCTCCATCCCAAGTTTTAGTTCTCCCCTGGCATATCCTTTTTCGGGTCATTTCTGGCTGACCACTTTCTGTGGAGAATTTGGGGGAAGGCTGTCCACCAGAGCAGCAAATACTCACTGTTGATGGTACCTGCTAGTGCATTAATATTATTCAGTCCAACAGTGGCCCCAGCCAGTCCTTGCAGAGTCCCGAGAGAGGTCAAGGAGTTCATGGCTGCACCAGCAGTGGAGTTGGGGGTCGAAGCAGCCACTGAAAAACAAAAGAGAGGAAAGTGGGAAGAGAAGACACAAGGTGAGTGAGAGCCAAGAGAAATAGAAATCCTTCTGTCACCATCTCAGTGGACGGAGCTGAGAAGCTGTGCTTGTGGCTTTCGTGTGAAGGACATATGGGACTGTACTTGTGACAATTTTGATAGATTTGATGATTAAAAACATCATCATAGTGTGGTTTTGCCAGTACAACAAAAACACACACTCATTGCTGGGTGGTGGGGAAAAATCTGTGAATGGGAGGCCTGTCCAGCCAGGTTTATACATAACAAAGTTGGCAATAATTCTTTGGTTTCATTATTTGATAATATCTTTTTTTTTTTTTTTTAAGCCTATGTGTGTGAGTAAGATGGGCCTTTATTTTTCCTTCTTGTACTGCCTTTAGTTTTGCTATGAAGCTTTTGCTAGCCTCAAAATGACAAGGAAAGTGTTCCTATTATTTTTCTGTTCTCTGGAATAAACTGTGTAACACTGAAATTAATTGTCATTTAAGTGTGTGGTAGAACTGGCTAGTAAAATGTTCTGGAATATGTCTTCATGGGAATATTCGGAAATGCTGATTACATTTCCCTAATAAATGGGATTATTGAACTTTTTTGTTCTTGAATCGGTTTTATTAGTTGCTGCTTTCTAGAAATTGATATATTGTTTTCCAATTGATATATTGTTTTCAACTATATATTGGTATAAAGTTATTCATAATATCTTCAATATACTTTTGCAATGAAAGACATTTAAACATGTCTCATTCATTTGGTCTACCTGATCTGGAAGTTCCTGGAAGAAGCATGTTAACATCTGCTGTAATTCCAACTCCTCCATGTAAATGTGTTTATTCTTGGAAATGATCCTATCTTCTGGTGAAATAAACCTTTTTGGGACAATCTTTTTGTTTCTAATTTTTCCTTGAAGTCTGTTTTGTATGATGTTTTGTGTAAAAAGCACCAGTTTTTTTGGGCTTTTACATTGGATATCTTTTGCCATCTTTTTACTTACCTGTTTATGTTTTAGCTACATCTCTAATATACAGAAAGGTTTAAAAACAACACAGCCTGATAACTTAACAGTCTTTTAACAGCAGCATTTAGATTTTGTTCTATTTGTTCTGCTAATATTACATTTCTTTCCTCTCCTTTCTTGCTGTCCTTGAGGTTTCTCTTTCAATTCCATTACCCCCTCTACTACTTTGGAAGTAATGCATGGTATTTCTATTCTTTTGTACATGGCCATAAAAACTTTAAGTCATCCTTAACTTATGCAAATCAAAGTTACTTATCTTTGCTCTTTGCCAGAACAATTCAAGGACTTGGGAATACTTTAAGGTAGAAAAGCCCCCTCTGAACCCAGGTGTGGGATATTCATGCAATCATGCATTTTAGTTGTAGCTTGGTTTTCATTTTTTTATCCAGCACATCATTATTATTCTTTATAGCACATATTTAGATTTGCCCACATATTTCCCACTTTTGCTTGTTATTCTTTCTTCTTTCATCTGGGTTATTTATCCTTTAGTTTGAAGTTATATCAATGCCACTTTATTTTGTGAGGGTCTACTGGTGAAAAAGTCTTTAAGCTTTGGTTTGTGTGAAAATTATGTCTTTATCCTAGTTCATGCAGTATTTTTTTCCTGGACATTTGAGATTGACAGGTTCTTCTTAGCACATTTTACAGCCTTCTGACTTCCATTATTACTGTTGAGATGTCAGGTACTGAGGTGTTTGTATTTCTTGGAGGATGGTTTTTCTGTTTTAAAGATCTTCTCCTTGTCTTCGGTGTTCTGCATTTATCACTGTGGTGCTTCCAGGTTTAGACTTATTTTTATTTTCCCTGCTTGGAATTCTTCTGGATCCCTCAATATGTGGATTTTTGTTTCTGCCTTTTATCAGTTCTCAAAGTTCTTGGTTATTAGCTACTCTTATATTGACTTTCCCCCATTCTCTCCTTTCCACTAGGAATTTAGTTAGACCTAAGTTAGATCTATTTCGTGTCACTTAACCTGTCACGTTCTGTTCTTCGGTTGGGTGTCATCTCCAAAATCTGTGTTCCATCTCACCTCATTCTCTTTCAATTCTATGTAATGTTCTGCTAAACTTACATATCCATATTTTACAATTTGATTATATTTTTCATTTCTAGAATTTTATCCATGTGCGTCATTTTTCATAATCACTTGCTTTTTCATTTGTCAAATTCTTTTAATATATAAACGTATTAACTTTATTTCTGTTGTATGCTAATAATTCTAGTATCTGAGGTCTTCATAGATGTATATATGGTATCTAATAATGTCCCTGCTATTTCTTACTTTTGGTACTTGGTTTTCTTGTATATTTTGTGGGTTTTTTGGTTGTGAGCTTAACTAACTTCGAACTTTATTTCTAAGGGTAATTTGAGGCCTGGGTTGAAGATGGGTACTTTTAAGAACGATTTACATTTGATTCTACAAGGTGCTGGAGAAAACTACAAGCTGGGGATACTTTAACTTCATAGCCTAGGGTTTTTGACTATTCAGATAAAATCAAATTGGTATGTAAACTCATGTGAGGGATGGTTAATTGTTAAGAATTCTCAGAGGGAAATGCCCCTGGCCCTACCTAACACTATGTTTTGAGATAGGCAGTTTTCTGTGTAGTTTTCTAAAGGGGAGTACTTCGTATTCATCTTTACACTGAGAGTTAGCCTTTTGTGGTTTCAGGCTTGTATGGGGAGGTTCTCCTATTAAATACCTCACAGGAGCCTTGGACTTTTTTCTATTCCTTATGGTTAGGAAAGCTTTGAGAACAGATACTTGAATTTACTTGGTTCACCAAATATCCTTAAGGGGAATGCCACCTTCAGTATGTTACCTCTTCTCTGAGTTTCCTCTTTCACTTAATCATTGATTTATAAGTATTTTTGCTAATTGACTAGTTTACTGATGTCGTTAAAAATATTTTTTAAAAATTATTATACATTTTAGGGTTTTTCCCAGTGGGAGTTTTCGAAAAACCTACACTGCCAGAAACAGAAGTCTCTCTTATGTGGGGTATTTCCCAGGAACTGTATGGGATGCCACTCTACATGTAATAGTCCTTTCCAGATTGCTGTGTCAGTAAGTAGTATGTTAAAAATTATTCCTAGTACATGTTTGAATTCTAAACCAGCAATAAAGGCCTGAACCATTTTCACACTATTTTAGGGAAGTAATTCTAAAAGGATATCTGTGGGCCCTCTTTCCAGTTAAACCACCACAGCAGATAAAAATGATAAAAACCAACCAATCAAAGTCTCTGGAAATTGTCCTAAGGTATCTATATGAAGAAATATTTTTCTCAAGAAGATTTATCAAATCTCAGCATGAACAGCAAGCATCTGTGGCGTGTGAGCTACAACCCACAACCTGCTCCCTTCTCTGGTACAAATACCCTCCTCTGAAGCTCAGCATAAAGGAAACTCTACCCTGTGTGGGTATGGCCAAGAAGATGGGGCTCCCCCTTCCCACAGCTCCAAATACACAGGATTATGGTTTCTCCCAGGGAGGAGGAGACCACCAACACTGACAATTCACAGCTCCCACCCCTGCCAACTCTGTGGCAGAAGCTCTATTCTAGGCCAAGAAACAGAGAGGTCCCTTCCTCAGCCCAGCCTCTACTCATGGGGTGGAAGCTCTACCCCAGGAATAGTATTCTGAGAGCACTGAATTCCATTCATCCCACCCATCTCACTCACCGGTGGAGGGTTTATGCTGGGAGAGGCAAGCAGAGAAGACCAGTTGCTCCCATGCCCACACAGCACCCTTCTTGTAGATGAGAGGTACCATTCACAGAAAAGCAGGCCACTGTCCCTGCACCACCTTCAGAGCAGGGAGAGAGAGGACACAAGAACACAAGGCTCTGTAGCTTTCCCTAAGGAGAACTAATTTATTTGGAACACAGTATGGGAAAGTTCAAGACTAAGGCACTGTTAGAAACAAGAGAAATTGTGTTGGTGAGCAGTTAAGAGTAGGCAGTAGCTCCATGATAGCAAAGTAGACCAGCTGAAAGCTTAGCAGAGAGAGCAGGGAAAGGGACAGCTAAGAAGAGTCCTCCTGGGGTCAGAGCAGGCCTCAAGGACTGGCTGAAAGAGCACTCCTACGAAAAGGGCCCAACTGCAGTCAGAGCAGACTGTGGAGACAATTTATGCTCCAGGGCCAAAAATAATAGAGCTAACCACTGAAGATGAGTGAAGGCTAACAGCTAGAAGTGGAAACAACAGAGACACAGCAGCCAGAAACTTAACAGAGATCAAGCAAAGAGGCAATGAAAGGGAGCCATCTGGAAGAATTTAGTAATTTAACAAAGGAAAAATAGGAATGTCACTTATAGCCCAAGGATGTGTCCTCTGAGGAGGGACAGCAGAGGCACAATGCAGGGGAAGAGACTTCACTGAATTATTCTTGCTAAATCACTAAGGAAATAAACACAAATGAGAAGCCAGTCGGGAAATGGTTATGTGTAGTGGGTAAGGAGGATTAATTAGTACCCAGAACTTGCTGTAATAACTACAGTGTTGCATTATGAAAAAAAACTATGATATATGCAAATGAACAAGAACATGCAATCTGTACACAGAAAAACACAGGAAAAACCAGACAGCAGACAACAGAAGTGATGCCTAAGAGGACCCAGATGTTAGACTTAGTGGACAAAGACATGAAAGCAGCTATTATAAATATGATAATCTAAAAAATCATGCTTTAAGGATTATAATTACAATGTTTCATCAAATAATGAATGTCAACAAAGAGGCTGAAATTATAAAAAGAAAAAAATGGAAATTCTTTTTTGCATGTTACAAAGTAAATTTATTTCCTTCAACATTTGTAAGTCAACACAGTACATGCAAGTAAGTAGGACAGAGACCATTCGCAATTCTAAGAAAATCACACTGCCTAGCATGTGATAGACATCTGCCGGGCAAATGGTGGCATTTTAAAATTTAACTTTCAGTTGGAAAGTGATG